CCAGGCCCACGCCTCTCCTCTCCCTGACACTCTGTATGCCAGGCCTCCTCCTCTCCACTCCCACGGCACCCTGTACACCAGGGCCACGCCTCTCCACTTCCATGGCTCCCTGGATGCCAGGGGCCACGGTGGACCCCTCCCACAAGTGCTGCTTTCCAAATGAGTGCTGAGGTGAGGAGGAAAAAGGAGCCATTTCAGTTTCCCTATTCTCAAGCACCCAACAGTCACCTGGCTTTCACTAAGGGTTGGATGAAAAAAGAAGGATGAGAGGGAAACAGGGCAGGAGGGTCACTGGACAATCACAAAGAAGAGATACGGCCGAGCAGCCCCATAGGACCAATAGCCCAGTCAGTACTGAACCCACCAGAGACGGGAGAGTTGTCTGCAAAGGAGGACTGGCCAGGACACCCTGACGATTAGAGTGAAGAACGGAGAAGAGCCTCGTTCTCATACATGGAAGACTGGAGGGCCGTGAGCTGGGGCACGCAGGTTGTTTAAGAGCAGCTGGGAAACAGCAGGTTCCAGCCTGGAGGTTCAGGCATTTCCAGGAAGAAGGATGGTATAGCTGGAAGCCACTGCCATGGTTCCTCCAGTCCCTTGAGACTCCTTCAAGCAAAGAAATACCTTCTTGTCACATCGTCTTTCTGCAAGAAATGCCTCTGTATGGACCTCAGCCATAGTCTTGAGCTAATGACCACAGCAATCCGCAGTGGCTCAAATCGCTTCTGCTCATTATTTGCCTCATGGGATGTTAAGACATGTAATAAAAATAATGTACTTCAAAGTCTCCAGCAGCGAGCAAGCACTCAAAACAGAAGCTATTATTATTAAGTTTGCTTACAGATCAGTTGCCAGTTCTAAGCACTCCCACTGCAAAAGCCGTCAGGAAGTCTCTGATTTCCAACAGGACCCATGCTTCCCCATTTATCGCTGCAATAAATAAACAGCCTGTCATCTGAAGGACATTTAAAACAAACTAGAAGGTAGTGTTTCCGTGTTTCTTACTTTTATCATCATTTGAATGCTAAGCTGGTCTCATCAGGCCCCAAGTAGAAAAATGTACACTTTCGTCTCAGAAAGTGGCGATTTATAAACTCTCCCGCAGCTCCTTTGTCCCATGCAGACAGCCAGGCCATGCCTCAGCCGGCTCTCACTGGAATGCACTTACCACAGAGGGAGGGTCATTCCATTCCTCGTAGGAGATGGCAGCGTAGGGGTAGATCCGGTCATTGATTATCTGCAGCGTGGCGAGGGCAATGGCTTTAATTGACTGGAAATATGCTTCCCAGAACCACCGTGCCTACGAGAAAAGCAAGACTGGTAAATGAGCAAGCAAGCAAGAGGACCAGATGCTTTATCATAGCCCATCCTCCCAGAGAGAAGTGCCCTTGCGCAGAGGCTCTCCTGCTGCTTAAACCGGCTCCGTTCTACCTGTTACCTGTGCCTCGCTCAAATGCAAAGTAGAATGTGAGTGGGGAAAGTGCACACTTGACCCCAGCCAGACACATGAGAAACCGGGACTGTGAAAAGATGACATGACTAGGTTATACAGGACTACATTTACACTCCTCTTCTTGCTTTTGGAGATATGTGTGTGTATGTGTGTGTGCGTGTGCGTGTGTATGTGTCTAAGTACACAGCTCAATGAACTATTACATATATTGTGTTGGTGGTGATGGTGTTGTTGTGTACCATAGAGTCAGAACTGACTCACAACTGACCCTCCAGTGAGTTTTCAGAGGCAGTTAATCGTACAAGAGGAGACTGCCCATCCTTCTCTTGAGGAGCAGCTGGTAGTCTCGAACCAGGTGCTTTCGGGATCGCAGTGCAGTTTCTTGCCTGTAAGCCACCAGAGTTCCCTACATATATACAAATACATATAACTACTGCCCAAGTAAACAGAACATTCCAGACCGTGCCATTGCTCAGTCAGCACCTGCTGAGGGGTGCCTCTAACAGTAAGCATTATTCTGACTTCTGACATGTCTACTCTTGAGTGTCACATAAGTGGAATCACACAGTATTTACTTTCCTGTGTCTGGTTTTGCTCAGCACAACATATGTACCATTGATCCACACTGTTGCATGCAATAGCAGCTTGTTCTTTTACAAGCTGTTGTTGTTGTTGTTAGGTACCATCAAGTCAGAGCCAACCCGTAAGTGACCCTCCAATAGGTTTTCAGAAATAGTTGATCACATAGTAGGAGACTGTCAATCTTTCTCCCGCAGAGCATCTGGTAGATTCAAACTGCGAACCTTTGGGTTAGGAGTGCAACATCTTACCAAGAGACCCCTCTATGGCTGTATAATATCTCATTTATATGATTATACCACAATCCTCTCACTTTCTATCTAGATGGACATTTAAGATGTTACCAGTTTTTAGCAATTATTAAGTACATATGGTATATCCATTAATGTACCTATCTCTTGGTGGGTATACGGGCTTACTTCTCTTGACTATCCTAAGTCTTAAAAAAACCCTAAACTGACTATGCACTAAAGTAACCATAACTGCTACCCAAACACATATAGGCACACTCATGGTTTTTGCTGCATTTTTCACAATAGCAAAGATACGGAAACAACCCAGGCGTCCGTCAACAAGTGAATGGGTAGGGAAGGTGTGTATATTCACACAATGGAATACTATGCAGCACTGAGAAACAAGGAAATCTTACGATATTATACAAAATGGGTGACCCTGGAGGGCATTATGCTGGGTGAAATAACTCAGTCAGAAAAGTACAAACACTGCATAATGTCACTGTTATAAAATAGGACTGGGATAGGATTTAGGGGAAAACTAAGTAAAGAGGGGATAATTAATGCATACTGCATTGATAAGGGGAAGAACTGTCTAAAAATATATATATATGATTAGGTATTATTGCATGACAACAGTCAGAATAAGGGGTGCACAGCAAAGTGGACAGATGGGGTGGGAAAGAGGGAGAGAAATGTGCCACAATGAAAGAATCTTTTTAAAGAGAAAAGTGAACTGGGGATGGAGTAGGGAGGAAAATGTACAATAATGAATGCATGGAAATCCAAGTTTTCGCTAAACTTCCTTTAAAATATCAATAAATTAAAAAAAATTAAAACAAAACAAAACAAAAAACCCGAAACCCACTGCCATGGAGGGAGCTCTGGTGGCTTCGTGGTAAGGAGGTTTGCTGCCAACCCGAGGGCACACGGTTTGGAACCACCAGATGCTTTGAAGGAGAATGATGGGTAGTTTTCTCCTGTGTGATTTACTGCCTCTGAAAAGCCACTGTAGGGTCAACTATGAGGTCAACAACAACTGCCATGGAGCCAGCTCTGATTCCTAGCAACCCTCCATCCAGTCTCCAAGGCTGTAAACCTTTACAGGAGGAGACGGCCCGTTCTTCTCCCCAGAAAACCTGGTAGATCCGTTAGCAGCCTGACACTAGCACACATACCTTGCCACCAGGGCTACATTTAGAGTCAATTATAGAGATTCTTGTCTGCTCTATAAACTATGCAAACAAGGACAGGGAAACAAAGTTCACTCACTTCCAACTCCAGATTGTGTGGTGGATAACGAATCCCATGCCACGTGCCAACTATGTCCTACGAAATCTTAGCTTTCCTCTGTGTTCAGCTCAGGCCCTGGTTGTCTACACAGTCTTTCCCTCTGACCCCTAATCACCAAAGAACAACTCACAGAACTCACAGGAGACACCACACCTGTTATAACAGCTTCAGTACAACAAAAAAGGATACAGATGAAGAGACACGCAGGGTGAGGCCTTGTTAGATGCTGTCAATTCGAGCACAACTCAGATCAACCACTGATCCTGTCCTATCCTGTGCCATCCACACCATCTCTGACACACTCAAGCCCTTTAGTCACTGTGTCAAGCCATCTGGTTGAGGATCTTCCTCGTTTTCCTCAACTTTCCATGATGTCCGTCTCCAAGGAATAATCTCCTCCAAGCAACATGCCCAAAGTATGTAAGATGAAGCTTTATCATTGCTTTCAAGGAGCACTCTGACTGCCCCTTCTCCAAGACATATCTGTTTGTTCTTCTGGCCGTCCATGGGATCTTCAGCACACTTCTCCAACACCATAGCTTAAAGGCATCAAATCTTCTTCTGTCTTCCTTAGTCACTGTCCAGCTTTCCAATGCATAGCAAGTGACGGATATGACCACAGCCTGAATCAGGTGCACCTTAGTCCTCAAAAAGAGTCCAGATTAGCAGTCAATGAAAATAAAGAGAAACATCTCCAACAAACATCCTCTGATAGTCAGAACATGGAATGCACAGTAAGACTTGGAAGGTACTTTTGTATCTCAGAAGAGATTCACCACCTTGGAGAGAAGGGAGACACTTTCATCAACTAGGAAGCTCCTCAAGCCCACATCCTCCAAAAAATGCAATGGCCTCACCATGTGAGCCCCAGGACCACTTCCAGCCCCATTCATGAGCCTTTAGACAAGGCCCTCAGGAACCAAGAAGAAAGGTCAAGTGGGGTCTATGCAAGGTGATTCCATGCCTGGCTCAGAGTCATGCCTCTACTCCATCATTTCTAGGTCTAAAGTCCGATCTTCCCCGCAGGAGCTCAAAACCATTCAGCATGATCCAATCATGGCCAAGGAAGCAACTCCAGAACAGAGCTGAATTGATAAAATTTAGGCAAAGCATTAACAGGAAATATTAGTACTTGTGTGGCTCTGCTCAGAACATGATTCCCAATCAGAGAGGTTTATGAATTGCAGTGCAACCGAATCTCTTGCCTGCAGGTGGGGAAACAGTGGTTCCTAGCTCAAGCTCACGGCCAAACAAGTCACTTGAGTGTACGTCACTCTCCACAGTTCTGCCAATAACCCAATCTCCCACATCAGGTTCCTAAACGGGCCCATGTGCTCTTCCCAGTCTTACACTAGAATGTAAGCCTTTGAGTCTTAATTTTTTTTTTCTTGTATTACTAGCTTTCGTTCCTGTTCACCAAAATGTTAAACATTCAGATCTTTTCTGGTTTCTCTTCACCAGTCATGACTTAACAGGTTTAAACATGCTTGAAGCTCTCTTTTCCAGTCTATTCTAGAATGACCAAACATGTAAAATTCACAAAATAGCACATATAAACATACGTCCTGAATATTTACCTATGTTTCTACCCATCTTGATATGTTTTTTCCCATCTTAATTCAGATTCAAATTAAGCAATACTTAACGAGGGTCTTCCAAGGCTTTCTGCTTGCTCACTTTTAATCACAGCGGGGACAGCTGACATGGGGGTTCAGTAAACAAGAATGGGTAACAAAACCACCTGGAACACTAGCCAAAGGCACAACTGCTGAACAGAGCTTCTAATTTAAGATGCCTCAAATCATCTAAGCCTGCCCACCAAGCGGCCGCTTATTCGGAAAGGAAGCAAGCTCTGCCAATAATCATAGCTCATGTGTCTCAGCCTGAGGTTAAGTGAACTTCACAGGCCTAAGTGTTTCTGCAGGCACACTCTCACACCTTGAAGTGCTCAGAAGGCGTCATCATTTACAGCCCCTCCAGGACATGGTGTCAGCCGCTCACTGCCTGACAGGAAAGGCTTTTCAGCTGTACTGGCCGTGTATGAAAGCACCACTGTTCCCTTCTTACTTTCTAAAACATGGGCAACATTGATCTTGACCTGGAAGCTTAACTAAGGGATCTCTTTCCTAGCTATGCAGATTCCCTAGTCACTCCAAATTGTGAGGGTTCGCAGTTGAAGAGGTGCGTCCTTAGGTCCTCCTACCATGACCTTGAACAAAACATGTAACTGTTCTTGTTTAAACAGATATAGCGATATTACAAAATAAGTGTATTTGAAAACACAAGGTCTACAAAGGTCTATGCAGCTTTCAAACATTACAAAGCTCCTGGAGGGTAAAGAGCCCTTGTGGGGTAGTGCATAATGTGCCAGGCTGCTAAATTAGAAGGTCAGTAGTTCAAATCCACCAGCCACTTAGAGGGATGAAGATGGTCAGTCTCTTCCCAGGGGTGAGGGTGGAGTTAGAGGAGGTCACTCAAAAGTCAGAACTGGCAGCAGGAGATGGCAGGGACGAGGCCAGCTTACCTAACTCAGGCAAGTAAGAACTCCCCCATGGATTCAAATCTTCTAAGTACCTAACGGAAGCAGGAGTGGCACCCATTTCCTAAACAGCACCCCTCTGGAAACTCTATGAACTTTGATAAATGATGACAGTTATAGAAAGGCTTCAGGCCTTTTGTTCATAGGGTCGCTATGAATCGTGCTTGACTGGATGTCAACCAACAACAAGTACCTAACAGGGC